GCCCGTGGGTTATTCTATCAGCCATGTCTTCTGTATTGGGTGCCTTGACCATTCTGACATGACCGACCTGCAGCATGTCTGGAGGGTTCTCTCAGCCACTCTCCTGAGTTGGACCCCTATTTTCTAGGATCTTTTAAAAAACTCTTTGGTTTGGTTGCCCAGCTGGTATGGCTCAGTGGACTGAGCGTCATCCCATGGACTGAGAGGTCCCAGTTCAATTCCCAGTCAGTGCACATGCCAGGGTTGTGGGCTCGATCCCCAGTAAGGGGCGTATAGGAGGCAGCCGATCGACGTTTTTCTCTCACATTGATGTTTCTATCTCTCTCTTCCTTCCTCTTCTCTAAAATCAATAAAAACTCATTTTAAAAAGATTTAAAAATAAAATAACTTTTTGGTTTGGTGAAGCAAAATCCTAATGCATTACAAGTTAAGCCCCATCCATTATTTTGGGGAGTATCCCTTTCTGTCTGAAAATGCACGTTCTTTTGCTCTGATCCACTTTCTTGATTTATTTTTAGGTAATTATTTGCTCTGCTTCATCTTTTCTGTCTTCTCTGGAAATCCCATTATACTGACCTCTTGAGGCCGTCTTCTGATTTTTTATCTTCCTTTCGGTTTTTCAAGCCTTTGCTCTACTTCCTGGGAGATTTTCTCAACTTTGTCTTCAAAATCTTATCTTGAATTTTAAATTTCTGAATTATTTTCAATTTCTAAAATCTTTATAAAAATTGTCCTTTGTTACATAGTATCTTGTTTTTGTTTCTTTGATATCTTTCTTTATGTCTCTAAACATATTAATAGTGGTTTATGGGTGTGTTTTTCTTATTATCTTTCTTGTTTGCTCTATTTCCTTCAAGTTGCTGTTTTTCTGTTTGTTTGTTGTGACTTTCTGTTTTTTATGTGATTTTCCTCACCTGCTGCCTGGTACTCCTTGGTTTTCTGTTCGTGTTTAAGAGTGGGCTTCAAGGCTAATTGGGAGCTCCTGAGAACATGGCGTTTGTTGACTGCGTCACTGTGGGGAGACTTGACAGGGCCATTGAGCCAGAGAATCCCGGGTGCCCACAGAGTCCTCGGTCTCCTCCCTGGAAGGAGATAAGTCTGCTGGCCAGCACCCCAGGCTGTCTGGGCAATCTCAGCGTATGGTTCACACGCTGCACTTAATCTTCCCTTGTTTTCAGGGTGGTGACTCCACCCTTCACTGGGCCCAGTGGCCTTCAATCCTGGGAACTTCTTCTCCAGAAAGGGTGAGGCATTGCCCAGTGCTTTGGCATCGCAGAGGGGTTGGGCATCGAACTGCGTCTCAAGCAGAGTTGTAATCAGCCCGCACTTCCTACATTTGGAGGCTCCCACAGTGTGAATTGGGTTCATTCATTTTCTGCTTGACCACCGCTGCTTCGGAGTCTGCTTCCTGGGGCTCCTTGCAAGTTCTTGTGCACTCATCCATCTGCTCTCCAGCGTCCAGAGTTTGGTTTCTCCCTTTTCTTTCCTGTTCTTTCAGCCCTTGTGAGTTTATTCCTTTTCTGAAAGAAGTCTGGGAAGAAGTAATGTGTGTGCAAACAAATATCTTTATCCAGAACCTAATACTTCTTCCAGGACTGGTTATGTCACTGGCTGCATTTTAGCCTCTGGCAACCTGTTTCTGCACCTGTGTCCTAATGAACTAGTGAGTTCTGAAATCATTTCTGAGAGCTTTTGTGATTTCCCGGTTTCTACAAGGAGGACATTGCTCCCCTCCCCCCAACTTTAAATGTGTCTCTTCACCTCGACTTACCCAGCAACTGTGTTTTTATTCCTTAAAGGGGCTCCTAGTTGAGATTTTATTATCACCTCATCTTGCCTTACATGGTTAAGTCTGCTATTCTTCACTGCTTTTTAATGCTTATTAGGAGCCAACAATGTATTTTAAAAATTGAATTATACAGGATTCCTGCTCCATGAGCTGTTGATCTAAATAAATGGTTAGCAATTCCTGTTAATTAGCTAAATCCTCTACTCCCTGTCAAGATATCATCATTTCATGAACATTGCAGCTCTGCTTTGAGTCATAACATTACTTGTTAGGACAAGTTAGCTGTTACCTTCTACTTGTTAATACAAGTGTTTCGTGTATTGTTGTAACTGCATGTTTTTGGCCCTTGGCCGAAACTTTTGCTTACTGCCCCCGTGTAGATCTAGTGCACATTAGAAAGTAATTTTGCCAACTGCGTTCTGCTTTGAGCCATTTCCTGCTTGCAGTTGATTATTCAGTGCAGCTGTATTAATCACGGGGCAGTATCGTGCCCTTAGAGATGGCTGACCGTAGGCAGCCTCTGCAGACGGCAGCCCAGCAGTCGTCAGAGACTAAGAAGGCCTGTGTGCGGGCGCTCAGACCCACAGGAGCCCACGGAGCATCGAACTCGAGTCTGACTCGCAGATCCCTCCCTTCAGTCTTTTCCCATCCCAGCGGCTGTTATAAATGTCACACGTTGGCATATGACCGCAGAGCAATCAGAGAGAATCAGCAGTGGGCAGGAAAGTTAGAGCTGGTTCAATGAGATGCAAGCTGTTGTGTGAAAGGAGACTAGATGCTGTCCTTCTGTGGAGGGGACGGCTGCACCACTGACCTCACCCCTACAGCAGGGGTGACCTACAGCTTCCAGGAGGCCTGGGTTTTACTGTCCTCTAAGGAGATTTTTTCATTTCTAAGGGTAGTTTTTTTTGTTGTTGTTGTTGTTGTTTTAATGGTGATAAGGAAGAAGAGAAAGAAAAGGAAGAGGAATAGCAAGCAGAAGGAGGAGGAGAAAAGGACGAAAATGCAACTGAGGCCGTGTGCATGTGATCTGTAAAGCCTACAGTATTTACTTTCCGGCTCTGTCCAGATGCCGTTTGCCAGCCCCTGGTCTAGACACCGCTGGTTTAGCCTCACTCCTCCTGGCCCCACGCTCCTTCCTGGTCACGGAAAGCCCTCCAAGTTTTCCCAGGGCTCGAGCAACTTCAATGTGTGTGTGTGTGTGTGTGTGTGTGTGTGTGTGTGTGTGTGTGGTTTCCAACAAAATGTCAATATAGATATGTCTGACTCATCACGTCTGAAGTTTGTCACTTCTAAGCAGATTTACCAACATAAAGGACAGTGTTAAATGTACGTGTGTACATAAGCAAACATGATAGGTTATGTGCTTAGCTATAATTGGGAAAAAAACAGGAAAATCATGAACAGTATTTTTGTAAACCCTTTTGGCTTAGTTGGAGATATTTTCAGAAAGGTATATGTTGAACTTGTTTCTCTTTATAAGTATAAAATGTAAACAAAAATGAAATTAAAACATTCTTTTACTATACAGACATCCTCTTATTTACTCAGAGCCTAACCAAAGAAAAGGTTTCACTTAAACAATTAACTTTAGTATTAAGTAGGTGATTTTTTAAAATTAATGACTACCAATTATTCTACCGCACTGTAGATATTAGCCAAGATTCGGGCTTTATCAGTCAGAGATCCCCAAACCTGTAGGCTCTCTCGTTTACAGCATTTCTGGTCTACATACCCTCCCCAAGGCATCCACGTACCATTTCCAGGTGAATTTTCCAGAAACTTAGCTCTGAGCCTGCCAAATCAGTCAAGCCAACAGTACGAAATGAAACCAAGCAAGTAAATTATCAAACTTTTCTTTTTTAGTCCATTGATATGAAAGTCCTGGGGAGATGCTGGTGGCACAGTTTTGTAATGGTCAACACCCTGTTCCGTAATTCTCTCTGTTTGCCCGAGTGCACTGGCAAATTTAGCATATTAATAAACTCAATAGTCCTCCAATGGTGAAATGTATCCCTCTGCTTTCAAAAAGCGCATGGAAAATAGAACCTTCAGGCAGTTGATCAGAAATGAAGCTATGAGGCCAGTTAATGTCTGCAATGTCCAACTTATGTCTAGAATGTAACTGTGACCAACAGTTAATCTTCATCTTCAATGGTACCTGCGAGTCACATAGTTGAGTACTAATTTAACACTTTTCTTTAATCCCCACTGTGACTCTGATGCAGGGGCACTGGGAACCCTCTTGTCGTAGGTTCGTCTCAGCTGATGAAGCAAACCAGTTCTGTGCATAAGCATTAAAGTCAGACACTACTTTGTCATTTCTTTTCTTTGTTTACCAAATGGTTCATTTATAAAAATAATTCAAATTTATACAGTATTTTTGGTTTGGGTATTAGATTTTTGAAATCCAGAGGTCAGCTAAGCCAGTGGCTCTATCTCTTTAAAAAATGAGAATGTGAAATGGAATTCCAGCCAAATGCTGGTCTTGAAGCTCATAAGCAGCGTGGCCTTGGGGGCTGCTGTCAGCATGCTTACCTGTTGCCAACTGTAGGTGTTTACGGAAGAAATAACACTAGCTGGATCAAAGGAGGTAGAGAGATGCTAATGTACCCTCTCTTAGCAAGAGTAAACCAATTAGTTGTGCACTTTTTGGAGATTTAATCATCTGAGATTTATTAATGAGTCCCCTGGTCACTGGGGAGGGCAAGAAAATTTATTTTGAATGCAGGCATGAAATGAATGGTTAATTAGGGTATGAAATGCATTCCATACTGGAATGTATTCAATTTACAATAAATATCCATACAGCTACAAAAATAAAAAAAGAAGGGGGAGACAGAAGAAAGTAATTCATAATAATTGACTTTATCAAAAATAGGCTAGAGAAGTACAAAATACTTAAATTCCCCGAAAGTTGCCCAATTCCTTATTATTTTGAATAATTCAGTCATTTCTACAGTCTCTGAACCCATCACGGTTTTCTTAAAAAGAAAAGCAGAAGAAGAAAGCCATACCCTTTCTACATAGACGTGGAAGGCTTTGCCGTCACCCTCCCTCCCCTAACGGTGCAGTCACACCGCAGCGTGTGCTCCTGCGGTAATGAGCTTGTACCCTCCTGCCGGGAGCCGGCTGGGTTCCTGAGGGACCTCAGCATGGCCAAATGCTCCCAAGCAATTAAAGGCTGATTAAGTGTTTATCTTCTTTACAGGTGGGAAGGAAAGAATGAAAATGAAGTGGGCAGATGTAAAGAGACCGGCAAAGTTCACGTGACTGTGGACCTCAAATACTACCGACCAACGGAAGTGGTAAGGCACCCTGGCCGCCCAGCTGTCTGGGAGATGCCATCCCTCAGTGCCCAAGGCCAGCCTTCAGAGCTGGCCATCGGCTCTCTGGCATCTTTCAGAGGGCACTTCCCAAACCGAGGGCAGTGCGTGGAATTTGAGATATTCTCACCACAAAATCCATTGCCTTAAAAGGGAAAACAAGGGTTAAAACACACCGAAGAAGTAGTTGTTCTCAGAAATGGAGACTCCTATCCATGGCAGATCTCCCAGTAAGTCAGGAGTGGTTCCCCGCACGTCACCCAACACTCAGCTCAAGTACGGCCGTGCCCTTGGTTCCTGTGGACAATACACCACACCCGACACCGCGACTCCTCTCTTTTCGTCTACTGCTTATGCGACAGCATGATGACATTACCTACTGTAATGGTTATACTCATTCGTTCACATGTTTTTCTCCCTCTACCGAAATATGAGGTCGTTCAAGATTAGGGCTTTTTAAAAATATTTTCAACTGTAACAAAGTAAGTGCTTAATACATATTGATTGATGGGTAAATGGATGGATGAGTGGATGGATTTCTGAATGCAGAGGTTTCTGTATTAAGAAATGGCCTCTAGGTTGTTAGAACATAGCCTCCTCCTTTCCAAGATTTATGCAAACTTCTAGCTTGGTGTTGTCATTTAACACTCCAGTGCTGTCCGCCCTCACTGTGGCGACAGTCCACAGCGGGGCATGTCTGACGGCAGTGGAAGTGGCGTCTTCAGGGCGAAGTTCAGACGTGGCGGTCACCTGGGGACATGCATACGGCTGTGAAACGGGGCCCTGCGAGCCTGTTTACCTGTGTTTACCAAATCCCTGCGTCGGACAGCCTTCCAGAGAGGCTGACAGTGCCCGCGCCATCAGTGGCCGCCCTTTCACATGTCTTGTCTGAAACAAGGAGAAAACCTCCCTCCATGCACTGTCGCCCAGGAGGAAGGAGAAAGGAGGAAACAGGTGCGTGTGGAGACTGGGGCTGGTCGCAGCCTTGTCCTGGCACAGGCGTGGCTGGGCCTCCGACCCGGGGCAGGCACCCCTGCGCTGAGGGCAGGCGGCAGGCAGGAGAGGATGTTTCTGGGGTACCAGCACACTCCTGCTGACACGCGGGGGTGCTGCGTGTGGAGCCCCCACGCTGGCGTTCGTTTCCCTGTCCTGAGGAGGGACCACCAGGTGTCACTTTTCTGGAACAGTGTGCAGATCACGTAAACAGGCAAAGTTGTTTCTGTGCTAACAAAATGGGTCGTCTCAGAGTGGAAAGTTTACTGAGCCGACAGAAAGCTCAACCTTATAACAGTTTGCAGTGGCTCTTTCTCCCTCTGACACCAAAATAGTTTCAAAGGCTAGGAAGTCATTAAGAACGGCCTGTCTGTCATTCTCACGCTGGCCAGGTGTGGGATCGATAAGAACACAGAACAAGAGTGTGCTGAACAGGGAAAAGACCCTTGGATTAACAAGGCAGTTCTTCAAGTCCGTCCCTGTGGGCCCCTCTTTCCTGTCCTGACGCTGCATCCCTCCCCACGTCTTGTTCTCCCCGGGCCATCGCCGTACCTGTGCTGCTGCTCATTCCCACCGCAGCTGTTTGGACAGAAGAGCGGGTCTTCTTTCCTTACTGTATTTGTCCACTAGCTCCCACCCCACTCCCGAATTTACTGCTCGGGTTTGGATGTTTGCTGCGTGTCCGTCTGGGCCTCCAGGCTGCGTGCGTCCGCTCGCCTCACGTCCCCTGAGGATTCTGTCGGGGAAGCTTTTCTTGATGTGTGACTCAACTTTAACCTCCTTCCTCAGGAGTTTTCCCCCAACTCGGAGCCGGTCACCAGCCTTGTTGAATTGCCTCAGGGTGACAGCACCCTTCCGGTTGAAAGGTGACCAAAGCGGAACACAACTTGTAAATGAGCTTTCACCCAGGGGCCTCCTGGCCGGCAGGGCGAGCGCCTGGGCGTGACTCCCGCCAGGTGCCGGCTCCTCGGGCGCAGCACCTACCGTCCCGCGGAGCGGAGTCCCGCCGCTGGGAGCTGTGTCCCTCCCACTCCCGTCGCAGTCGCCTCAGGAGCTTCGTGGCCTCTTTCCATTTGTCCCCAGATCCTGAGAAGGCGTGTTCTCTGACGAGCTTTAATCGTGTGCGTCCCCAAGAGCGTCAGCACACGGCCCTCCAGAGCCAAGGACAGGAACTAGACTTGTGTCCAGTGGCTCCAACGTCTGACTGACAGGGAGAAGGAGAAGGACACTGGGGAAGAAAAAAGCATAGAGACATGTCAGCTTTCAGAACACCGTGTCCTAAGCAGGACCAAAGGGACATAGAGCTTCATGTTGCTTTTTGAATAAGATTCAGACTAGTCTTAAGAAAGGCTCTTTTCCTTGGCCGGTTTTCAGCCTGTGGACTGAAGAGTCTCGGTTCGGTTCTGGGCAAGGGCGTGTACCTCAGTTATGGCTTGGTCCCCGCCCCGATCGGGGTCGTGCAGGAGGCAACCAGTCAATGTGTCTCTTTCACATCGATGTTTCTCTCTCTCTCTCTCTCCCTCCCACTCTATCTGAAGATAAATGGAAAAACATCCTCAGGTGAGAATTAAAACCAGAAAGGAAAGGCCCTCTCCCTCAGCGAAGCCGGCACTAGGCGGAGGCCCGCGGGCCAGCAGTCTCTGCCGCCCCCACCGGCCCAGCGCCAGGGCACCGTCAACCCTGCTTACAGACCGACAGAAACACACGTTTTGTTCTGAGCCAGGGCTCCAGCACCCCTTTAGAACTGAACGGAGTCACGTATTCTTTACCTATAAACCCCTGGGTTTCCTTTGAACATTCAGGAGTTTTGCTGCTATGGAGAGCTTAATCCTGAAAATCCGACTTGACACTTCCCACTGCCCCTGGATTCCAGTCTTTGGTGATAATGTTGTCAATACTTAGTTCTGTCCTCTTACAGCTCTATCCTGTACATCCCTTTCTGTATGTGCACACATTTGCACATAGATCATCGCCTTGTGCATTTATTCGCAGAGAAGTAGGGCTGTGCTTAAGTGTGGGCCCCAGGGCCAGCCGCCTGAGTTCAAAAACAGTTACTAGCTGTGTGACCTTAAGCAGGTTTCTTCTGAGTGCTTATGTATCTTGTCTTTAAAAATGGATTTGGTGCCCTGGCCAGTTTGGCTCAGCGGTTAGAGCGTCGGCCTGTGGTCCGGAGAGACCCGGGTTCGGTTCCCGCTAAGGGCACGTACTTCGGTTGCAGTTTGTCCCCGGCCCTGGTCGGTTGTGCGGGTGGCAGCCACTCGATGTGTCCCTTCACATTGATGTTTCTCTCTCTCTCTCCTTCCTCTCTCTCCCTCCCACTCTATCTGTACAAAAAATGGAAAAATATCCTCAGGTGAGGATAAAAAAAAAAATGGATTTGGTAATAGAACTTCTTCCCGTGAGTTGTTGGAAATTAAACAAGTATACAAAATGATTAATAGAAGAGTATCTGGCACACAGTAAAATACCCAGTATTGATGCTATTATTGGTTTGTTTTGTTTTTAATTTATTGATTTTAGAGAGAGAGAGGAATGGAGAGAGAGGACATCAACGTGTTGGTCCACCCATCTATGCATTCATTCATTGGTTGATTCTTGTATGTGCCCTGACCAGGGGTCGAAATTACAACCTTGACGAATAGGGATGATGCTCTAACCAACTGAGCTACCCAGCCGGTGCCAATGATGTTGTTGTTATTTGTTCGTTCATTCGTTCGTTCGTTTATTATTTACCAAGCACTGGGTCATACCTGGGAAAACAGTGTGAACAACATACACATTCCCTGCCCTTGTTGAGGTTGTACATATAGGTCTAGATCAGTTGCTTAAAACTAGTGCCTTTTGAAAAGTAGAATGACATGATCGATGAATTATATAGGTTAGCCAATAAAAGGTAAATAACAAGGTATAATCAAAGCTACTAGAAAATATTAATATTTACTTTGATTTTTTTAAATTCTTATTTTATCTTGCTTTCCATCCTTTCTGATCCTCTTTTGGAAGATTAAATACATATTCAGAAGTATGGAAGTATCATGTAAATATAAGAAAGTTGATATTGACCTATTACTTACTTTAAAATAACCACAAAGATTTCTTTCTTTTGGGTGACAATGTTTAACTTGGGAAATTTACAGAGGTTGAGTTAATAAAGTATTATTCAGCTGAATGCACTAACTTTTAAACCACACCAAATGCTTAATCCACTTTTTTTAAAAAGTGTAAGATTTTTTTTTTTTTTTTCCTGTGAAACCAGCGAAAGTCCCTTCTTTCCTGCAGCGCAGTTCAGGAGTAAGCCTGGGAGACAGGCAAGCATGTGTTTTTCCTAAAGAACACCTTCACTGAGATTCTAGTAGATGATGCAGACTGCATTCTGTCTTGCTATGTTATTTGTCTTCAACATTTATTTTTCTTGCCGTTGTATTTCTAATGTCCTCCATTGTGATTGGGTTTTGTTTGATTTACTTAGATACATCATGTTTATTCCCCTTGCTTATAGATATTAGAAAAAAAAATGTGAATTAAAATCTAAATTGAGAAAAACGGTAACTTTAAAGACGTTCACCACGCTAGTTCAAGTAGCACCTGCCTTCAGTAAAAGCAGGTGGCCTGTTTCTAATGCAATCACCACGTGCTTGGCCGCGTGTCCCCTCCGCAGAGCCTCCCGTGTCCGCCTGTAGAGGGCGTTGAGTCGGGCCGGCGCTCGGCCTCGCAGCCCTGCTGGAGAGCTTGGGACCCCTGTCTCAGGGCACTGGTCTCAGGGCACTGGTTTGAATGCCAGTTGGCGCTGCCCTCACTTCCGTCTCTGTCCTGGGGTCTGGAAACTGCCCCTTCACTCCCTGCTCTCACATCCTCACCTCCCGCACTGGAGAACTGGGTGCTCCCTCTGCCTCCCTGCCTCTCCCCGCCGGCCTCTCGGGCCCTGATTCTTCTGCCCGCTAGGCCTGCCCCTTGCCCCTGCGCGTCTGTTCCTGCTGCGACGGGAGCCC